AAAGACTGCTGCCGGGGCTGGGGTATAGCTCAGTCAGTAGAGTGCTTGCCTCACATGTACAGCCCTGGGTTCAATCCCCAGCACCACCCCCCAAAAAAGATTGCTTCCACCCTCTATTATCCCTGAAAGTTCTGAGGGTGAACTAGCCAATTCCTGTCAAGGCAATTTCACATACTAGCATGACCTCTGAAGAACATACTGGTCTATCAAGCAGAATTTAAAAGGGCCAACTATCTCTCTGATCACTTGGCTCCCTAATTTGGAAAAGTCCACAGGCTGCTGAACAAATCCAAAAGTCAACTTAGCAGAGAAAAGGAATCCAGGGAATTTAGAATGGATCCTCTAAGATGTCAGAGGGAGAGATAGACGCCTGAAGGTATAGCTCAGTGGTAGAACCCTTGCCTAGCATATGCAAAGATTCAATCCTCAGTGCCACCAAAAAAAGAAACAAAGAAAGAGAAAGGTGAGATATAAATTCCAAGCCTCACAATAAAAACTAATCCTCTTGATCCATGCATGTAAAAGGCTCAGCAATGTCCAACACACAGCAGTAATGGCAATAGGTAACATTTAATGGACATTTAACCATAGTGAGCTGGATGCAATGGTGCATACCTATAGTCCCAGGGACTCAGAAGCTGAGGCAAGAGGATCAAGTTAGAGGCCAGCCTCAGAAACATGGCAAAACTCTGTCTCAAAGTAAAAAAATAAATAAAAAGGGCTGGGGGTATGGCTCAGTGGTAGAGCATCYCTGGGTTCCATCTCCAGTATCATACACCCAAACACCAGGATAGTGAACCCTCAGCTACTCCCAGTCAGCAGCAACACTAGAGAAATATTTGAAGCAATTACCGACCTTGTCAAAGAAGTTTAATTTGGTTTCATTTTAGGTTCTCTTAACACAGGATGCCATACTTTGGATGTATTAAATGCAACAATCCCAAGGACACCTTTGAGGAATCAAAAAAAGGCTGAAAGAGTAGATTTCAGATAAAAATTAAAGAGAAAGAGCTAAAGAAGCATCCTCTTAAAATTACAAAATCTCTGGACTCCATAGGGAAAGAGTTAACTGCCAACTTAGTAAAGCCAGAAAACTTTGGAGTGAGCACATTAGTTAAGCAATGTGAAAAATCAGCAAAACTAGTTTGCCACGAGCAGCAGTCTCCCTGAAATAGGCTCTCATTTACTTTTCATTTCTTCTGCTTTCCAGTCTCTTCTCTTTGAAGCAGTTCTTGATTAGTTTCTTTTTTAATTGCCACTTAATTGGGGAACAAAATTAGAACACTTATTTGATATCAGTGATGAGGTTTCTCTTTTCACTTCTGCTTTGATCTAGTTTTGAAAAACCAAAAGCTGAAGGGAGAAATGAAGAAAAAGGGACTAAAAAGATTTCTTCTTTCCAAGAGCTGGATGCAGTTATTAGTCATCAAGTAAACATGGACAGAACTACTTTTGGAGAATCTGAAGAAAAAAMGAAAAGCAAGTAAAGATAGCTTTATGGAATTTATTTTCAAAAGCCCATTCTTTCTTCTTAAGTTTCTTCATGGGCAACAATATCTTATGACAAGGAAATGAAAAAAAAACTTATGAGAATCCATGTCACCCTGCCCCAGGGAGAAGAGTAGGATGGAGAAGAGACATCCCTTATCAAAGAGCTCTTGACCCTTTCCTTACCAGCATCTTAATTGTTACTGATGATATTATAAAATAAATTCCAAAAGGATTCTAAAAACAAAATAGTCTAATTCTTTCTTGTTCTAAAACTTTATATTTGTTAAAATCCACTGCTCAAGGTGTGCATGGTGGTACAAGGCTGTAATCCCAGTGATTTGGGAAGCTGAGGCAGGGGGATTGCAAGTTCAAGGCCAACCTCAGCAATTAAGTGAAGTACCCAGAAACTCAAGGAGACMCTGTCTCAAAAAAGGGGGGGGGGTGGGCAGGGGCTGGGGAGGTGGCTCAAAGGTTAAGAAAAAAAAGTTTGAGACGGACTTAGGAGACCCTGTCTCAAAATAAAAAATTAAAGGGCTAGGGATGTGGCTCAAGCGGTAGCGCGCTCGCCTGGCATGCCTGCGGCCCGGGTTCGATCCTCAGCACCACATAC